ACAGCCAACAACTGAGTATGACATATTCCTAGCATTGTTCCTAGGTCACTTGGCCTGCCTGAGCTATATCTTCCTTCACTCAACCACAGAAACATAGATGATTTGTATTAAAAACCTACAGATTTATTTTTGCCCTGGCCGGAAATCGAACCGAAATGAAAATCCTCAGGTGTCTATAATGATATGCAAGCAATGACGAAAAGAAACAGCACCAGCATGAGAAGGGAACTGAAAATGCATACCATCAAATTAAATGTAGCAGAATATTGAAAAAATGGCTTGCTTGTGAGCAAAATAAGTGCCATAAGAGCTTATAGATAGTTTATAATTCCACTCCTCCAAGAAGCATGTATGTTGGTCGTCTACCAAGACGATGCAAATATATCAGACATCACTAATTACGACGACGAAGAAAATGGAGCAACAATAATTGTTTTTTTGTTCACGGTAAAAGGATCGTATAGATTCTAGCCTTAATATGATCCCGTGTCTGTATCTCTTCCTGGGAGGGTGCGTGGACTTGATATCGATGAGGTAACGACATAATGATATGAATCAAATAATAAAGATGATTGAGAAACTAGAAATCGAGAGGATTGAGAGACATGGAGACAGATCCTGAAGAACCTTTGACTAACTGTTTGGCTTACTGTAAATTCCACAAGGAATCCCCGAGTTTTCACGCCCATTATCCTGAGGACGAAGACTAGCAAACTTGGTGTTATTATGTCCCTGGACATGTGGATATGAAGTTCAACATTTGCTACACGAATAGCGCTGTCACACAATATTGTACTCTTAATATTTGCTCCAATCTCTTCACATTTGGAGCAAACATTCACTTAAGTTTAAAATTTTCATTAAAAACAATAATTATAAAATATAATTTATTATTATTATTATCATTATTATTATTATTATTATTATTATTATTATTATTATTATTATTATTATTTCTAGTGGTTCGTACATAACGCTTAATTCAGATTATTGACATCCAAAATTTAATGATGTTTCAGTCTTTATAGTACATATCTTATTTAATCTACACAACGTTTCGAAGTAATCCTTAACTCCATCTTCAGGCTATTACAAACCAAGAGACAAGAGAATAACAAAACAATAGTATCCAATGCATAAAAAATGCAATATCATTTAGATTTATTTAGTAAAAAACAGTAAAAACTGCATTTGCCGTATGGGAGATAAGATCATCTATCACACATCTCTCTTATGCATTTTTACATAATCAATCACATATTTCTACCATTCACACTTGATAAGTATATTTACATGAATTAGCAGTTAAAACTACATAAAAACTATTCATAACAAAGACTCACTAATTCTTAAACAGAAAATATAAAATATGTAGATCAGCATCATCTTCCACATTGGTAAAGTTCTGTGTTCAATAGTCACACCTAGTTAACGACAACAAACCACCATTGATATATGTACATCAACCATTCATACAGTTACTTCACTAAATGCAACAAGTAACATACTTAAAATCTCCCCAGTTCATTGCTACCTACGTCAAATTAAACAATATATACAATAAATAACTTTATTTATACAACCGATATCAGACCCACATAATGGGAAGTGCACCATGCATCTACATGGAAGCAAAGAAACTACGATGTCCTCTACCTAGTGTACAAACTCTCATAGATTACAAAGTCTAGGTTTCATAAGAGTTTGCATAATATCGTAGCACGTGGTAAAACTGTTCGACTGTAACACAGAATTGACGGTATTTTTATTTTTTATGTGAAGAATTTCTAATATTAATCTATTTCCCTTATTGTTTCAACATTAAAAATGTCAGTGTTTCAAGATACCAAAATTTGATATGTTGCTATTCTATGAAATTGATATAAAGCTGTATTGTTGTCTACTTTTGTTAATATTAGTTTGGGGATCTTTTATCCGTTCTTGTGACTTACTACAGGACTGACCTACATAACATTTTGTACATGAATGACATGACATCTTTTATACAGTATTTTGTTGGTCTTCTATATGAATTTCCGAATGAAGAGTTATATATAAACGTATATATACAAAAAGACATACATAATTCCAATAATTTTTGACTTCTTCGTTTATCACACAATAAAGTTACTATGTATGTATATTTCATACATTGGAATGCTAGATCATTCACGTCCTAAAGGGCACTTTCTCCAAATATACAGCATCTGATACACCTGCTATATACACAGGATGAACGTTTTTAATTCAATAGATTTTTTAATTTAGTTATTTTTCTCAAAAGAATATATTGGTATGTGCAGTAATCGTCTAAATATATTTGTATCGCTAAAAACATTAGTAAAGCAGAATTCAAACAAGTAACCCGCTCCATGGAACTGATAACGGGAGAAGAGAAGCTTCTCGGTATCAGAAATTTTGCGTTGTCTTTAGAGAACTGTTCTTGGGGTGGAGAGTGCTCAGACGACCTTTTAAAAATAATGAGACGCATAAAAATAATGTTATCTGCAAATGCGTTTTCTTTCTTATTTCAATGGACATTGTTTCTATCGAAAACCCAAACGCAACAAACGATATTACAGCGAACGTAGATCTGCGAACCCATTGTTTGCTGTACGGGAAGCATTAGAAGCTGCTGCTTGCAAATGCTTTTAAACGCCGCTTGACCGGTTGCATTACCGGCAGCAGAAAAATCACGTTGGGAGAGTCTCGAGACACCCCGATAATTCAAGTACGCAAAGAGACAAGAGGCAACCTCATGGCGCATACGGAGGATGACAAAGAGAGAGAAGACGAAAACAGGGAACAACCTCACGGACGAAGGTTCGCCCGACAGTTGACAGGGCGACGCGATGTGGCGGACCGAAGGGCGCAGGGTGCGGGTACCGAAGACCGACACGCAGTACCTTGCGTCAGCTTCAAGCGATCAGTTGCGATGTTGCGCGACAGAGGGAGGCTTGTCGCCTACGGAGGACACCTGCCTTCCGCCTACGGAGGAAGCTGCCACAGCAACAGCTGCCGCGCCGCGTGGAAACCTAACCTCATTCACTCTTATAGGATGACAATGTAATATATTGATGTATGTACTACGAAATATAATTAGCTACTGAAAAATTCCATTGAAGATAATATAAATAAACATCATTTAATAAAGAAATAAATACATAAACGTATTTGTTATTTTCAGTACAACCGCCACTTCCTTTCACAATTCACCACTCAGAAATCTACTGTGGTATTCCATCTCTTGCCCCACAATTCTCTTCTATTTTTCACTTCATCAATTAAACATTACGTTATGGCGCCATTCGGCATCTTGGAAATAGGCAAGTAAAGACAAACACAGCGTAACTATGCGAGTAACGGCAAGAAACAGCGAGAAGCTGCAAGTAACGACAAGATTCAAACATGTTTGAATGTCGTACGCCGCCGCCGCTAGTAGCGCTATCGTCGCTTTGCTGCGGATGTCACTAACGCAGGACGGGTCGATGAGCTATTGAATGTTTGAATTTAGTCTTTTGAAGCTGTAGCGTGTCGCTGTCGCAAAATGAAGCTCACGTAGCACACGGCCTGAGGCCTACTCTCGCTATGCTAACGTGCGCCAGGAAAGTCTCTCTGCAGTGGCACTTTGCTCATGGGAGTGCTAGCATTATGTCGATAGCACGAGTTACAGCTTGGAACAACCGAAAACTTAAATTGCGTACTCACCACAATCTTAATTGATACTGGAAGTGCTGTCCTCTTCACTTATTTCCAAGTATTCAGGTAAATACCAACATTAATGCAATTTTGAATAGGAGATCCAATCTCAGTGCTGACAGACTTTTCTGGCGCATTGTAATACTGGCTGCTACTTAACGAGCTGTTGGCAGTTGATCTAAAGCGTTCGTAGTGACTAGCGTGCTAGTTACTTTGAACATGTTTCATTTTCAAATAAGTATTGGATTCCCACGAGATTATTAGTCATATCCACATACTATTCCAAATTAAATTCGTATATTTAATGAAGAAGTATTGAGATATTTGATTGTCTATACTCCCACCAGAATCCTTATCTTTTTTCAATAATTGAGACAATAAGTATAAATAATAAATATATGATTTTTCTACCTATTTGGTGTAGAGAGGGCACGTGAAAGACGATGTGTACGTATTAGCACATCTCTGGTTTTAGGCGAAACGATAAAAACATGTTCGTCTTCGAGCACTAGCACTGATTAACTCGTTGCTTGGAAACTCTTTTCCCGCTAATAGATATTGCTAATAGTACCATACAATAATTTAGCATCGTATGCATAGATATTTAGCCCAGAAAAAGAAGCTGACGCGGCCCGACATATTCCAATGCAATGGTCTCGGTTGTCCGGATGGCATCGCCGCGGCCACCACTGCCACGCTGTAGGCATCTTTACCATCTTCTTCGCCGAATGCCCATCAGTGTATTTCAGCCCTGAAGAAGGCCACGTCTTGACATCCGTAACGTCGGCATGCTCACTACGATGTCTCTTAAACACAGGTTTTCAGACTATATGCTATTTGCGTTTGCTACCGGACGTTTCGTCCAAAAACATCGAGCCCTTCCGCAGGACATATTCAAATGATACATTTTGTAGGTACGCCGTAGTGTTTTGCAATCTACGAATAGTTTTGCTATTCGACGTTGCGGCCAAAAATTGCCGTCTTCCAAGGAACATTATCAAATGATGCACTTCCACTGCTTAGGCTGTTTTGCCATTTGCTTTGGCCAGTCGACGATGAGGACAAACAGCATGGCCTTCCTCAGGGCACTAGCAAACATTTCCGTCCTGAGGACGGAGTGTAAGAAACGTGTGGCAATCAGTTTCCAAGGCGGCGTCGCCGGAAGAGCCCCTTGCGTTCTGTTGCCAAGGGGGCTTGCTCGCTCCCGAGCCCGCGCCCGCGCCCCCGCGCCGCTCGCCACGCAGGCGCCGGGCGGGCGTGCCGTCGCGCCTGTTGCCAGGGCGAACCGGTTGATGTTGCAGCGGACGCCGCGGCCGGGCGTCGCCATCGGGGCGCGGATCCTCGACCTGAAGGCCGTGCGCCACCTGCTGGACGGGCCGCTGCTGCGCGCTCACCAGGACGTCTTCGCGCAGGTGAGCCCCGCGCCCGCATCACCATCATACACACTACACACGAATATACTCATAAAGACAAACGTTCAACCACACACACATATGTATATGTACGTGTGTGTATAAGAGAATACGATTATATGTCTCTCTCCCCCTCCCTCCCTCTCCCCCTCCC